TCTGGGTATTCCTTTTCCATTGAAAATTCAATCAAGTCACACATTTCTGCCTCACTCTCACTGGAAACATGAATTTCCTTGTATTTTAACTGAAATTTGAAATTTCATAACCATTTCTCCCTTAAATCGGATTCAATTTCATTCTCAGAGAATTACTACCAAATTTTTCATGAAATTTCCAAAAATTTCCAACAGTGAAGCTATTATGTTAGATTGAAAGATCTATTTAAATTGACGTGAGTATTTCAAAGGGAAATCATTAATTAGGAATAGAACAGAGTAAAAGTTTGTGGGTTCAGGTACAGAGTCTCATTACAGAGGCATTTTTAATTATTGAATATATTCCCACCTCTGGTGGAAGAGTAAACATACAATTCGTCTAGATTTTTCGTCCGAGAAATATTCAACTGTTACAATTGGGTGAATAGTCATAAATGAATTCACACCTTTGTAAAATTCAGTATAAATTACCTAATATAAATAAGATTTTCCAAATTATGCTTAGCTTTTACCTAAAATAACCGAATAAATATTTAATACGAACCATGCGTCAACAATGAATAATTACAAAACAAAAATCCAAAGTACATTCCCATCTCGAAGCAATCACTCCCCAACCAATAACTCCCACGAAAACTGCAGAATCGGACTGATCCAATTGACAGATAAGTGGACTTGTCAAAATAAATCAACCGAGAACAATAAAATTTAATGACTACCGCAGTGAGGAAAGAAACAATTCGTCCTTTCCAATCCCATTCATTACCCAAAAACAATAAAAATCATTGAAACTGAATCACACGCTCCAAAAACTATTGAATGTCTCTCGCACGATAACTCTCAAGCAGTAAACGTTTTTCAGGGTAACGTTATTCCCGGATACACGAGAGGTTGCGGGTATTCGTCGATGCTTATGATGCTTTATGGGGCACCAAAGCCCCTCTCCCCACATAAACGTTCGGATTTCCATGGCTTGTTGGTTCATTCAAGATTCTCCCAAACATATACACTTAAGCTCAAGAGAGTGCTGTTGCACGTGAAAGCAAAGTTCCAAACGACGTCCAACCGGGACTCTCACTACTCATATAACTTTTAAAAACCCAGCCCATTGATTATCCTATCGCCCCCCCCCCTCTCCCCACCCCCTTCACCACTCTCTTTCTTTCCCGACTTCGTTAAAAAAAATATAGATAAACTATGCATGTAGACCGAAAAAAGGAAAAACATTGACGGAAAAAAGGAGTATCATCGCCTCGTTAAACGGCCATTAAAACTTTTTCATCAAAGGAAAAAATTCCAGTGCAAGAATGGAAGGGAAATAAGAAATTCTTCAGTGAGAAATTCCTTACTCCCATGCCCCGCGGGAAAAACTTGATTTCACCACAGTTAGTTTAACGAGGCTAATCGATAATAAACTTTACAATGTTTCTCTCGCTTGAATTTCCAATCCCATAAAGTTGATGAATTCCAAAAGTAAAGGGGCGAGTGAGTAAACAGGAAGAGTAAAAAAATACTGGGGAATGAAGTTTAACCGGACGATTGTAAAATTTCTGCTTTTAAATCTTCGATGAAAAAAAAGCGAGTAACAAAAGAAATATATGGGGACGTGAAAAATAAAAGTAAAGCTTGTGAAACAAATGTGAGAATCGTAAAGAACCAGATTTGGCGGCGATTCCATCACCCCCATGGCCCCTCTGCCACTGGTATTTCCACGCTCGCAGGTGGACGATTCTTGTAAAACAGTTACCTACGTGATCCCGGCCCGCTGAACCCGTTTATTTCATCGGCTAAAATCGTTTGACTCGTTGGCTACGCTCGTTTTTCCGTCCTTTTGCACCATTTTTTTGCGCTCGTACGGAGAAAACTCCTCGTATACGAGAACTGATCGTAAAAGACGTGGAAAGAGCATCAAATCGTTGTGCAGTTTTCTGGAACACTGAGGCGATAAAACAGGCGGGAGGGGGGGGTGAAATCTTTTTCCTTGATTTTTGTGAGGCAACTGGAGCATTTGTCACATACTGACATTTAGGTTGAAGGAAATGAATTTACTTTTCAGTGGATTGTTTCATTCAATATAAATTCAATTCTGTAAATGAGGAGAGCTAAGGGAAATTGAATCTACAGGGGATTGGTGAGAGCTGTAACAACACTGGTTAAAATTTTTTGTCGAAATTTCCGAATTATTTTTTGAGAATTATAAAAGTTTAAGTAGCCTCAAATTTGAATGGAGTGGGCATTATATAGTTCGAAGTGGCTTCAAATTTGAGGTCGAAACGCCAACACTGATCACGTCATTTTAACAAATTGATGGAAATTTATAATTCAGCAGCACTAATCAACATTTAATACTTCAATTTTTATCACCTGATATTTCTCTTGAAGTTTCGATCAATGTAGTCATTGAGTATTCAAAATTTTATGGTAAAATCAATGGAAACTTGGAATTTCAGTCCAATTATCCTATTAAAATTTCTAAAAATCAGGAAAACTCAGGTTAATATATTCTCGAATGTTCAATTTTTTGAAAATTCAGCATAATTTGGCACTGAATATGCATGGTTTGATTGAAAGTTCAAGTAATTTGCAGAATTCTCTTTTTTTTTCTGCTGACAAATGTAAAATTTCCGTGAAATCTGAAATTTCATTTTTTTCAAGGCTAAATCGAATTCAATATGACTCTCCTGAAATCTCGAAAAATGTCGTCATTGAGATTTCAAAATTTTATGGTAAAATCAATCGAAGCTTGAAATTTCAGTCCAATTATACTATAAAAATTATTAAAAATCAGGAAAACTCCGGTAAATATATTCTCGAATTTTCAATTTGTTGAAAATTCAGCATAATTTGGTACTGAATATGTATCTTTCAATTGAAAGTTCAAGTAAGTTGCGGAATTCTCGTTTTTCTTCTACTGACAAATGTAGAATTTCAGTGAGATCTGAAATTTCAATTTTTTTTCGCTAAATCGAATTCAATATCACTCTCCTGAAAATGACTAGTCAACTGGCCACGAAATTTCTTTTTTTTTTCTAACAGCCAACTTAATTATATGCTTTAATTACTTTCTATTTATTTGTTTTTTTATCCTTATGCAATATACAGCGTATTTGGTTTTTTACAAACATACATTAAATTTTTAATGTAGTAAAGTAAAAAAGTTCTCTTTTTAAAACGAAGATAAAGATCTGGCCGTAGCTAAAAAAATAATGCTCCTATAATCCGTGCTTCCATAAAAAGCGAATGAAGTGATAAATGATTCAAAACACCCTGTGAGCTCTACTTTTCATTAATTATGTAAATAATGAGCGATTATAAAACAAAATGTCAAGAAGTGAATATTTGATGCCATTTTCTTGTAATTCTACTGATTATCGAGACAATTTACAGCCACTTTGGTTCTCTGCTATTTTATTCTGTGGTTTCCCTCAAATTCTATTAACAATACAAAGCGAAATGGAATAATTCAACTACATGTATTAATACTTCCAATTACGTAAATAACCGTAAAAAAATATGTCAACACATCAACTATACATGTTAATTATATAATTACTCCAACGAGTGATAGACATAAATATTAGAACTTTTTTCACTTCTCCACAGAAAAAGTCTTTTCACTTTAACTTGAACTCCCGCATTAATGACATAATTTTATATTCAACTAAATCTGAAAAAAAAAATGATTCTGTTTCAGGAAAAATTGCATAACGAAAAAGCAATGACATAAATAATTCACCTCATTAAAATATCAAGTGATGCTGTTCCCGCAAAATTGAATTACCAAAAAGCAATGAAACAAATAATTCACCTGATCAAAAAATCAAGTGATTCTGTTCCCGAAAAATTGAATAACCAGAAAGCAATGAAACTAATAATTCACCGTGTCCCTGAGAAACGCCATAACAAGTCAAATGAATGGACACAACGCCACCGGGTAATTCCGATATTACACCGTGGAGAGGGACTCAACCGTCACATTCTACCCCAAAGTGCCAATCGCTTGGCAACACAACGTACCTCATACCCCACCACCTGATCACTATACCGTACACTTTATCGGTATGCAATTGTACATTATGCAAACATGAGCACGTGTATACCCGTGGTACACCTATCTGAATCATTGCCATTGCAAACAATGCAACATCACCCAGCACCCCTAATGCATTCTGAAAGACGGTACATTGTAGTGTAGCTTACCAATGCGTATGGAAAACGATATGGCAAACTCTCCAGGGTCGACAGTTTCGAATATTGCCCAGCAAATAATTCAGCAAGCATTGAATTAAATTTCCAGCTATTTTGAAAATTGCCTCTTGGCAAATAACTTGACTGAATTGATTAGTACATTCGGATGTTTATCGTGTCCAATTATTTCCGACAATTGTCATTCCGTTTGTCCTTACAATTTAGGTTAATTAGTGGCCTCGTTAAACAGAATTATTGGGGGCAAAAAAATAGGGACCGATGGTCATTCCAAATACATTCACAAACAGTTGGAGATGCATTTCATTCGGAAAACTTCGATAAAAAAGAAAATACAGCGAAACAGATGGAGGTTATCCCTCACTTCCGGTACTTTATTTTTCGGCCATTCGTGTTTGGTTACTTTAATCCACATCTATGGGCAATATCAATAAATTTACGTTGCGACAGTGGATGGGATACTTTATTTTCAAACTGAAACAAGAGTTTGAGGACCCCTGCGCGACTGTGATTGACGTACAACCATCGGGAACAACTAAAAATGTCCATTTGTCCAGCAATTGGCGATGTCAACGAAATGGTTGTTTTTATTTACCGGTTTTCTGGGTTTTTTTCTCCATGTTTTTTCGGGTTTTATCGACGTTTATATCAATAAGTTTTATGACGAGGAGATATCTTGTCCTGCCTGACACTTTTCGGAGGATGGAATTGGATGGAATGTCGAGTGACGCGCGTCGCATGCGCGGGACATTGTAGTGCACGGAGAGATCGATAGGGGCGCTACTCGCCGGAGTATGCGGGTTGGAGGTTGGGGCAGTCTCACTGTTTTGGTCGACGTATTGTTTTGGTGGGCTCGTGGGATTCAATTTTTGGGAATAAATAAGTCAGATTGTTCGAGAATTACCCGAGATGGATCCTGCATTATTGAGGGAGCGGGAGCTCTTCAAGAAGAGAGCTATATCAACACCTGTGTAAGTGACAAGACAATTTTTAACCTAGATTTCAACTTTAGTAGTCAATATTTAGTTGACGTAACGAATTAATCTTACGTTTCGTTTATTTTTGGAGTTAGTTTTTTATTTTATTCACTTTTTTTTTGAGTTGATCTGCTGCAAATAAGTTGACAACTGGTCATTGCCGAAAGATTTCAGCCAGTGCATGTTTTATTCACAGAACTTGCTCCAATTGCGAGAAATTTCACAATTTATTTCTGGAACAGATTAACATACTTAATTTTGTTCATTGCTGGGAGTAATCTATAATTTTTACTCATTTTTGCAACTGGTTGTTCACAAAAGTCCGTGTAATTCACATTTTATTTATAAGATTGTGTCCAGTTGGGAGTTTGACGTATGAAACTTTATTTGTTTCAAATCTTTAATTTCGTGCTGATCACACTCAAACAAATGGAAATATATCAAGGGATATAATGCAGTCTTAACCAGGGAAACTATGTGCGTTGAAAATGCACTAATTTTTCATTGAAGCCGCTAAGAGCTTCATCGTTTATGCTATTTTGAATGAATAAAATTGGAGAAAAGAAAACTCTTCATGTCGGGGTTTCAAAGTTGTCCAAGTTCACGGTTGAATCTTAAATGATGGAATAATTAGGTTTTTATTTGTTTTCATTTTATTCTTCATGTGATCTGTTGCAAATAGCTTTGCACCCGCTTATTCCCAGAAGCCTTTAGTAAATAGATTGCAAATATCTACAGAATAATCTCCAATTGGGAGTTTTTCATATGAAAAACGTTATAAAGTTGATTGGAGAAGTGCGGAAGATGAAATAATTCAGTTTTTCTTCATTTTTGCTTAATTTTCAATGCTATTATCGCAAATATACTTAAAAACTGATCATTCATAAAAGCTTGCGGTTCATGCGTTACATTTTATCTACAAAATGATCTCCGATTGGAAATTTGAACATAAGGTAATTCTCCCTATGCACGTTCAGATATCGTGAGTTATCATATTTTAATTATTTTGGCAGTCTCAAGAATCTATCATGAGTGAAATATGATTGGGGTAAGTACTTTAGTTAATATGGAAAGTTATAGACACCAATGAACCGTGATTTATGGGAAAATAAGAGAGAAATCCCATTCATCCCATTCAACTGATGAATGACAGTGGATCAAAGTTTATGGAACAAATTCCAGATGTAAAATGCTAATCTTCTTTATACCTGTTTTTTAAGTTAATAACTCTAAATGAGTTCGAAAATTCCACTTTTCATTGAACTATAAAGGATCGCCTTACATGAAAAGCCCAATTTTCATGAATTTTCAAGATGAATAAGAAATTTTATGGACATTTTCATTGAAAATTAAATTTAAACTCACAGCATTGAGAATTCAGATGAAGCTGTGACTGAAATTTCAAGAAATTTCTAACAGTGCAATTAAAAGAAGAAGTACAACGAAAACAGGATTGATCCTATACTTTTCGGACAACCAACTGTCAACTGGTAACGGATTAAATCAATGAAAAAATTATTGAGATGATGGACCGTCCAATCGAAATATAATTTTGTGCCTCGAGATATGTTCTAATGTTGTTTTATTACAAAATTCGATCCTCACGATGTAATTAGTTGGGATATAATCTCCTTATCATTCAAATCACGAGACGAAGATACGGACATGTGCCATACGTGCATGGGGACAAATAAGCGGACGAAAAATAGTAATTATCATGATTAATATAATTAAACCCCAATTCTGAAGGCTTCACTATCTTGTTATCTAATTGAACATCCCTCACACTCATTTGGATAGAAATATTAGACCAATGATGTGTTCACCTTAGCTAGATGAGCGCAGCGATATTTCCCTCATGGTCAATAATATGGATGCAGAGAGCGAAATTATTTTGTGGTTTTATTCCTTTCAGCATTGAAAAAAAGAAAAGAGAGCCTGAGAAAGAGCCCAGTCGAGATGAACCGAGTAAGAAGAAACCGAAAGTCTCATCGGTGTCAAGTGCCCCAAAACTCGACAATGTCACCTACAAAACAATGCCTGGTAGCTCACAGTATAAGTTTGGGGTACTGGCAAAAATCGTTAAACATATGAAAACGAGGCATCAAGAGGGGGACGACCACCCTTTGTCATTAGATGATATTCTGGATGAGACGAATCAGTTGGACGTGGGCTCTAAAGTAAATAGAATGGATTATATCCTTACTCCCTGATTAACGTAATGTAAGGGTTATAATGTACTGGTACTAATTATTTAATTGATTTATTACCAGGTCAAACAATGGTTGGCAACTGAAGCTCTCATTCAAAACCCAAAAATCGATGTGGTTGATAACAAATTCGTATTCAGACCAACGTACAAAATCAGGGACAAAAAATCGTTATTGAGACTTTTGAAGCAACAGGATTTGAAGGGACTTGGTGGAATATTGTTGGATGATATTCAGGAGAGTTTACCTCACTGTGACAAAGCCCTGAAGGTTGGTAACAATTGAAGAAAATCGAAATTTCACTCATTTTCATTTCATTTTCATTTCATGAACACCCAACAGCACAAGGCCAGTTGCAGCATCACATTAAATTGTCAATTCATTCAGTTTGAATAATAAAATAAGTCATTAGAATATGTAATCTATGCAATTAATTTTCTAATGTACATTTTCAGTTGTTTTTATTATTATGATTTCTTCTTTTCTTTCGGTTTTATTTTTTTTGTGTGTTCATTTTTCGAAATTGATTAATTGTCAAATGAACCGTCGAAAAAAACAATGATTTGAAAAATCTTGTGTAGACTATTTCACAATCACATTTGAAACTATTGGATTCAGAGAAAAATATTAAATAAACTTTTTCGCAGTTCATAGAATTTCCCACAAAAATCGTCTATGAATAAACTTTCATAGACTGCAACTTATTTCGGAACTGTTTTTCTTCATGACTTCACTATCGAATTCATCTCCAGAATAATTCGAAAAGATAATTTAATAACATAAATTTCATTGGAAAAATGCTGCAGCACTTGCAACACGAGATTCTCTTCATAGTTCGACCCCTCGACAAGAAGAAAATAGTATTTTACAACGATAAAACAGCTCAATTACCAATCGACGAGGAATTCCAGAAGCTCTGGCGTGCAGTGGCTGTAGATGCAATGGACGATCAGAAGATCGATGAATACTTGGAGAAACAGGGTATAAGATCGATGCAGGATCATGGACCAAAGAAACCAGCCCCAATAAAACGAAAGAAACCAAGTAACAAACGAAAGAATCTCAAGAAACCCAGGGACAACGAGCATTTGGCTGACGTACTAGAGACGTACGATGAGAATAAGTGAACGGTGAACCGTGAAACCATCCGCATAAGTGAATTAATTCATCTAGGAAATTGAACTCGTTTAAATAAATATATAATTTTTATAATCACAAGTTATTCATAAGTACAAAATAAATATAATTTTTCTCATATCTCAGGGGCTTAATAATAAACTTGGTGAATTCAGATACAAAAATCATCAATCCTTTGGCAATTACAGATGACCATTAGTCTATCAGTAGAAAAATCTTATTCCTGTACATAAAAAAAGTAATTCATTGATTATTGTTTGTTGTGATTAATCTTTAGGAAGTGCAGAATCACTTTTTCCACGCGAATAGGCACGTGTTGCTTTGCTTCCCAGCATTCGATCCAACAGTGATTGTTTATTTCTTCGTCGAGCAGCTAGAACCTCCCGGCACAGCTCGTGAAATGATTCAGCCACTTGTGCAACCTAGATAATCAAATAAATAGATTTTCTGTTGATTAACAGTAACCTATAAGCGATATTACACGGGAATTAATTTTTCGAAATTATCGTTTCAATTTTAGAGGCGATTGTGGATTTTGTACTTTTCATTTGAAGATATTGAAATATATATACAGTTATCTCAGTTAACAATCTTACTCAGATGTGGATGTTTCATCCGTTATTTGCATTCAGTTGTTTTTCATTTCTTTTTATTTCATCAATTTTGCAAGTGTTTTATTTTCTACTTTTAACATTACGTAAACATTACACGAAGTTTCAAACTTCAGTTAAAATTCAGGTTGAATTTTCAATTAAACATGAATATCTAGAGACAAAATGACTTGAATTTTCACGATATAATTGAACTGAAGTCTTCATATTTCCTTGATTTTCAAAATAAATGATTTTCTCATGACGAGATTTCCTAAAATTTCAGCGGAAATGTCACTTGTCAGTAAATGCCGGGGATTTCAAGTGAATAATTTGATTACAATGAGGAAATGTTGATTCTAGAGAGGAAATGTATTTTATCAAAGTTACCTGTTCAGCAGCTGTAACTTCACTGAACCAGCACTCAAAGTCCTTAGCCAAAATTTCACCCTCCTCAGTACTGACTTGCCTCAAGTGTACCATGTCTGCTTTGTTGCCAACCATGGCCAGCGGCATAGCAGCCTCTGGGTCAGCAACAGCGAGTGCTTGTTTAGCTTTTCTTACAAAGTTGAAGGAACCACGGTCAGTTATTGAGTAAACGAGCAAAAGTCCGTCCGCCCATTGAAGTGTCTCCATGGTTGGCATTTCATCGTCACTCTAAAAGGCCAAGTGATGGAAAATCTCTAACTCAATTGCCGAAAAAAATTTGGACATGTGTCTTTGTCATCCTCTCTCATCGTGTTTCTTGCATATTATTATCAATTTTTAGTTAGTTCACACATCAATATAATTCCGCGCTTAGAATAGTGTCATCTTGTGTATTCAGCATCAAATTAAAAATTAAAAGTGAATTTGGACTATGGAGTCAGAGCTTCTTTTTATTCATATCGGAAATTCTGTTCAAAGTGAAAAAATCAATCGTCATTTTACTATATTGCATTTGGATTTTCCTGTACGTAACATCAAAAATGTGAGATAATCTCATCATTCTGGCTGTTAATTATAATCAACCTTGGGTAGTTCGGCACAGAATAAACATAAACACGGTAAACTGTTAGGCTGAATCACCGTTTAACTACTTTCGCAGGAAATATATGTAGAAGATATATTTGCTGTTTCAACTTTGTCCGGAGAAAACCTTAGTAAACGCAATATTAAGAAAGTAGAATTATTCTGTTTTCATCTGACCTCAATGATTTGGACAATTACGATTTGTTTATTCATGTTTGATAGAATGATCTTCAATTCTCTTTTGTTCGTTAAGCGAGCTTCATGAAAATTCGACGCAAGACGATTGTGCTCATGAAAAATGGCATACTTTCTCCATTCGTTCGAAATATCCGCCATATTCGAGTTCTCATTTTCGACTTGAGATATTGCCCTTGCATTTTTTTTCGAAAGGATGCAAATGAGTAGTGGATACGGAGTATCTTGAGAGCTTTCGGTTAGCATAAAAAAGTTACCTTGGGACAGGAGTCTAAAATTTCAAAGAGGATCGGCTCACCATCCACCAACACTTCGTGCTTGTAGCGGTTCTCTGAAATTGAAGAACAACACTTTTTGAAACTAAATACTTGGATGAATACTAAAACTAGAACTCGCTAAATAATTTATAGAAAATATCAAGCATCTTCACCAGATATTTTCTCAGCAAAGACCGCAAATACAACTCGGAGAACAACTTTATAATTACGAAGGAAAATCCCCGCAGAGCCTCAAAAAGATAAACTAAAATAACGCAGAAAGCTCGACCATTCCAATTATCCCGGTGTAACAAATTGTTGAGCACATTTAACAAATGTTGACATGTTTTCCTCGAAAAATCAATGTCGCACACTTCAGTCGTCTCGTGTCAACTTCGTCGGACTAATTTAGACCAGACGTGAGACCTCAAGGTATTCGTGCATGGAAAAAAACTCGAACGAAAAAGAAAAATAAGAGGGAAGATCAAAGGCGTTTCGTATTTTTTAGTACAATATGACTTAGACCTCATGAATTTTCGTTTGGCCTCACCTTGCTGATGATCATACTCCCCAATGTATCTTCTCGTCAGGAACCTCACGGTCAAGGCTGCAACAAATGATAAATTTTCAGCGCATGAGCAACAACTTCTCACCCAGCTGCAGCATTTCAATCCTCCAACAGCATTAAATCATTATTTACGAGTGTCGTTAAGTCTTCCGGCCAGCAATAAAACACGTATTAGCCCAGTTTCAATTGTTTACACAATAGCGGGTTGTGCCACGTGGACAAACACCGAAAATTCCAGTGTGAGGCCTCCACCGACGTTAATACATGAACAAATAATTTCTGAAAACTCAGTTGACCCGGAAATAAGTTGAAGAAATTTCTCAACTCACTTTCAATTGTTTACCCTCCTACCCTCCAGTGGTAACAAAGGAATAAATAATTAGTTTTCCTTAGATCCATGTAATTATCCGAGTGAAGAACCTATCCTTTTCTCCTGATGAATATTCAAACAGCCATCGTGGCTTGAATCGCAAACGATACCTGGTCTTTTCATCAGCCTGAGTTCTCCATAACACTCGACCGAGTTTTTTTTTTATTCATTCACTTAGAGAATACGGAAATGAGATAAACGGATCGAGGAGAACGAGGGAAATTCGGTGAAAAAAAATTAAAGGGAAGTTGAGTTCAGATGAAACATGGATTATTATGGCTGGTAGGTTCGAATCGGGGGTGATAAATAATTTCGAATAACTCCGGAGCAGCCAGTACCACTAAATATTCAGGGGATGCAAGTTCAGTCAGGAATACTCGCCTTCTCCATCGTTCACTCTATCTTTTTTCACCTTTACCTCGTTTTTTCATTTTCTTCTCATTTTTCGTGTTTCACCTTTTGGCAGGCGATTGGAATTCCCAGTGGCACCCGACGAATCACGGGAAGTGAAATTGAAAAAAGTAATTTCATTAGTTCTTTTATCGACAAAACAAAAGTCATAATTTTATTATCAATCATTTCCGATGAATTCTCATTAAGAGGAGGTTGACCCTGGGGAGAAAACTATTTTTCGCACGTTTTTTCCTTAGGAATCCGATTCTGCACGGAGAAAATATAAAATTAAAAATTTCTATGTGAACATAGTAATCGAAAAAAAATATTAAAATTTGACTTATTTTAACTGAACGTTTGCGATGTGAAATTCATGATTTATGATTTAACACAGTAATTTATAACAGAGAAAGGAGTATAAAATGCATGAGTCAAAGAATACTTTTAAAAAGTGTTAAAAACGCTTTATTTTTTAACCAATTTTTGTTATTGAACGACGAGAAATTCCTCAAATGGTATGAATTTTTACTATGCTAAAATTGAATTTTTTCTTACGATTTAAAACTTTACTTTATATTCTTGCGCCTCCTATATTTTATTCGAGGAAATTGCAGAAATTACAATGTTGATTAATAAAAACTCCAGCGGATGATGAGAGCCCCGATTGTTTTCAGTTCTTGGAATCTCCTCCCTCCGTCGACCACGTAATGGCCCGGGTGACGGATTCTACAATTCGAAAAAAATAAATGTGCGTGGAGCGAAATTATTGATAGTAATTTTCAAGGATAATAAAGAAGATTAAATACGGTTTTCCACTTCGGTTATTAAAAAAATCGCCATCTCCCTCGTTCTCTTCTGCGAATATTCATTTTGAAAGGGGGCGAGAATAATTTTTAAACCGACGAAGTAGAAATTCATGTTTATTCTCTTAAATTTTACTCGTGTCAATTAACAATTTAACTTTTACGCTACCATCTTCTACTGTACAGACTCTCAATTTTGACTATATACAACAGCAATTTTTCCAACAGACTCTATCATATTTTAATTTTGTCAGTCGTATTTCTTTATTTGTTGTCAAAATTACTACGTTAAACCGTGAATTTTCGAGTGCGGCGGGTGTAGACCTGCATTTTAGTTCTCATATTAAGAATTACTATGATCCCATAGTACACTGATAGAAAAGGTGGAACGATTCAGTTGCACCAAACGAGGCTTCTTAACTGTTACCGCGATTCGTTAATAGTTAACGAATCGTGGTAATAGTTAAAAAATCTCGTTTGGTCCGACTAAACTGTTCTATCAGTGTAGAAAATAATTATATATCTTTTATGTGTGTGTACCAAAATTGTTTCCACCGCTCAAAATTAGAGTGCCGATTTTTTGTAACTAAAAATGGGGTACTTCTATTGTTCAAATATTGTGTACAAACGTTATTTATGAATTCTTACTTTATCTAATGGTTCTGATGCATCTACCTAGTCTTTTGTCACCCTACAGTTAAGAGGGTTCCTTTCAATAATACAGATTTTGCTAGCGTACTTCCTCCCTAAAATTCGGATTGGTACATTTTTCCACACCGTTCCCATTCATTTTCCCCTCAGTCTGTAAAAATTCACTCATTCTAACTGATATTCATATGAAATATTTGAGAATAAAGTTGATCCCTTGAAAATGACGACTTGTTTAGTCGAGAAACGAACTTCACAATGCACCTTCTTCCCAATTTTTCACAATTAAGAAGCGAAAATTGTTAATCAGGAGCAGAAAACTATTAAAAAAATTTTAACATGCAAAATTTAAAAATTTTAAAAATTAAAAACTCTAATCTTGAGCCGTCGGAGACAGTTGAGGCCTTTAGAATCACATTTCTGAGGAAAAATCATGCAAAAATGGCACCTTTAAAAATTGTTCCCTTGAAAAACGAAAGTTTTTTTCAAGGGGTGAACCTCCCCTTGAACTGTCATAGATATTCCATCGATTTATCCTAATTTACTCATCCAGAAAGACAGTAAAATGAAAGTTGTGATTTTTGCGCTATTTTTCCCCACATTCCCTGTGGCAAAATGAACAAGTTCACTCTCATCATAATTTTTTCTCTTTCCAAGGCTTGTTAATCCAGAGAGACGAAAGGCGAAACGAGAGTCGGCAGCCTAGTGACCCGCTTCGAGGTACACCACACTATTTTTACCGTCAACCTGTCTCCCCTGTCGTTGTCGTCGGCAGTGGAAAAAAGATGAATAACATAAAAAAGGTTTGCACGAGGTACGTTTACTTATCGCTCATTTATTATCTCTTTCACATCCCGGGCCTTTTAATTCCGACGTTTTATTCAACGTCACGGGGAGATAACTCTCTGGGGCTCGTTTTTTTAGCCTGTCCTAAATAAAGATGCTTGGACTTGGGAGATATGAGCGAGAATTTTTCAATTAAAATCGGAAAATTCGGTGTTAACAAAGCCTTAGGGTTTTTAATTCAGGGATCAGAGGTGAGGGATTTATCGATGGGGTTGAGGTGAGGAAGAAGGTATTAAGACATACCAAAGGCTCTCGAAATACATCGGCTTGAGTGCGTGACCTGTTTGAAGGATCGAGTGAACTCAAAAACCTCATCCCATCGGAGCCCATTTCATTCTTCATTCCCAGCCTCTCTCTGGCACTGAACAATCCACCAGCAAAATACCATCGACACCCCATTCTAAAAATTTTCGCACGAAGAGAAAACTCTCCAAATGCCGCGTCTCAAAGAACAAAATATAATTTGTGGTTTGCACGAGAAAAAAACATAACAAGACAGAATTACGATGTTTCGTGCTTAACTCTGAGATTCAGGGCTATTCGAGGTAAAATGTATAAATAGCCTGTGGAAGTTGTTACGCAGCTGCCGTTTGTCGGTTTAGAATTATTTATCCGCTGTGTCTAGTCTGGAAGATTGATTTGCGATAAAATATTTTTACATTTTTTCACTCCCCCTCGGCTATCCAACAAAACCCGCCGTAAACTCTGAAACTATTTTCAACTACATACTAATTTCGAGGGCATCCCCATGAAATAATCCGAGAAGATAAATACATTGCGAGAATTACGTGGAGAAATTTTAAATATTTTTCTTCGCAAAAATGAATATCGGATTTTTCTCATCACCTCGTTATATTGAAATACGAGAAATTAATTAGTGATGAACTGGTTTGTAACTGGGTTTCTCTCAATTTTTTTTAATTACTACATTAAACTCCCACCGGTGAAAATACATCTGATAAAATATTTTTTCACGCTCCTGTGCCATCCAGTAAAACTCTCCATGAATTCTAAGACTATTTTCAACTAAAAACTAATTTTCAGAGTATCACCATAAAATAATCCGAGGATTACAAATACATTGCGAGAATTACGTGGCGAAATTTTGAATATTTCTCCTTTGAATAATAAATATCAGATTTTTCTCAACATCTCATCATATTAAAATCCGAAAAATTAATTAATTATGAACTATTTTATAGCTGGGTGTACCTCGCTTCGTCACCAATACAAATTCCTCCCCCATTTTTTTTTCAAATTTTTTAAAATACCACCACATTAAACTCCCACCGATAATACATCTACGGTAGAAGATTGATTCGCGAGACAATATTTTCTCATTTTTTCACTCCCCTCTACCGTTCAAAAACACTCATTCGTTCAAAAAAAAAATCCATCACGAGAATTATGTGGAGAAATTTTGAATATTTTTCCTCTCAAAAATAAATGCCAGTTTTTTCTCATCACCTTATCATATTAAAATCAGAAGAATTAATTAATGATGAAGTATTTTATACCTGGGTTTACCTCGCTTCATCGCCGATAGTAATCCTTCCCCCATTCCTCCATATTTTTTTACTACATTAAACCCTCACCGGTAACAATACATCTAGTATGAAAAATTGATTCGCCCCACAATATTTTTACATGTTTTCACTCCCCTCTGCTATTCCACAAAACGTGCCATAAACTTTGAGACTATTTTCAACAACAAACAAATTTTGGGAGTGTCCTCATAAACTAATCCGAGAAAACAAATGCATAATCTGTGAAAAAATGCACTACTTTTCGCCTCAAAAATAGACATCAAATTTTTCTCATCGCCTCGTCATATTGAACTCCGAGAAATTAATTAACGATGAACTATTTTATACCCAGTTTTCCCTCGCTTCCTCACCGATACTAATCCCTCTCCCATTTTTTTCTAATTTTTTTAAATTACACCACATTAACTCCCACCGGTGACAATACATCTAGTATGAAAGATTGATTCGCGCCGCAATATTTTTACATTTTTTCACTCCCCTCTGCTATTCAACAAAACGTGCCATAAACTCCAAGACTATTTTCAACGACAAACAAATTTTGAGAGTATCCTCATAAACTAATTCGAGAAAAGAAATGCATAATTTGTAAAAAAAATGCGCTATTTTTCCCCTCACAAATAGACATCAAATTTTTCTCGTCACCTCGTCATATTGAACTCCGAGAAATTAATTAACGATGAACTATTTTATACCCAGTTTTCCCTCGCTTTCTCACCAATACTAATCCCTCTCCCATTTCTTTCTAATTTTTTTTAATTACACCACATTAAACTCCCACCGGTGAAAATGCACCTAGTGTGTAACGCGGTGGGACTGCCGACGCTCATTACGCCAGAGAGCGCCAAAAACTCGGGCTAATTTTAATATAATGCGAGACCTTATCCGTTCCACCCCGTTTCGTTTCCTCTCTCACTCCTCCCTCCCGCCCTCCACGTCCCCTTCACATGAACACATAGCCCTCGATAAGAACGAGCTTAATGGAGCCGAGAGAGACATAGAGATAGAGACAGAAAACGAAATTAACGTGTGAGAAAAATTCAACCCCTCTGGGACAATGCATTCTTGTCACCCGTAATTTTTATACACACACCTCTTTTCTCACCCCCTTCTACATTAATGTTGATAAAACTTTCATATTTAATTTCCGTATCTTCCGTCATTGTTAGTGGCTCCCAATTCCAAATGCTTACACTGAGAAACATATTTCTAATATCTGAAACATATCTATTTGAGACAAGTAATTTTTTTTGAATCGCTTTGTTCATGCTTAACTCATGCTTTAAGGTATATACCTTAGAAAACCCTAACCCTGTTTTTCATAGATAATGTTTATCATAGTTATTGAAAACAATTCTAATTAGCTGTACTACACAGTTTAGGAGATAATAAATAATGAAACGCTGGCTTCTAACACGCGAGGCATAGGTCAAACGGGGGTTATGGGTCCCCCCGAACTCGCTTTCTCCATGTTACGATAAAACGGTTCTTACGATGTTTTTAAAAAATTAATCCGTGATAAATTGATAAGTTTCGAATACCGCGAATTTTTTACGCAATTTTTTTACGGTGAAATTTCGTGAAAGCATTTCTTATTTGTTTCAAACAGTTATTGTTGCCAATATCAACAACATACGAGGATATTTCAATAATAGAGGAAGCAAATAAAATGAAAATTTATGTTCAGGCATTTCTATAGAAAGTATCACCATAAAAAAGTTGTGCAGAAAATATCGAAAAGATTTCCTAATGAACTATTCCTTGATTCTCTATCGGAAAAGATTGGCGATAAACTAGGAAAATTTCCAACAGAAATCCTCTGCAAAATGCAATAGAAATTTCTAGCGAATGTGCCAAAACTTTCAATGAAATATGTCCGCGCGTGTTCCCGTAAAATTGAGTTGTTGCATCAACTTCAATACTGATTCTCTCTTCGTCAAAAATTGTAAATAAAGTGTTCTTTTAAAAACATGTTCCGACGCAGTAAATATGAAAATTGGACGACAATATTCAACTTCAGTATCATCCGGCATCGTTAGTGTCATCCAATTTCAACTGCACATATTTATTCGACCAATATTATTAATCTAGATCAAACGTTAGACGACTCAGCGAAATTCAAGTGGCACTAGACAAAATATTAAGTTTACTGTCTGGGCTGAGACAAACTGAGCTTTGAGCTGTCGTTGAAAGTGCCAAGGACCTTTGAAAATGCCTGTAGCAACTTTAATTCACACTGTAATTTCCGGCACACACCGAAGAAACTATTATTACTGTAACAAACTAAAATGCTCGATTGCTTGTAAGACGCGTCGGCACTTTCCCCCCAGTGTGCCGAGCTCTGCAAGAATCACATCTCTATAATTCAGAGGCCCCCTTTTCTCTACCTCCAACCTCCTCCAACCCCGGGCTCCAGGATGAGTTATCGGGTCCACATTATTCCCTCGAGTCGTAACATAAAGTAAAAGAGGGAAAATGGGGAAAAATGAGGGGAATTTATATTATGTTTTTACTCGCAGGTGCTCTAGGCCTTCGATTATTTGTTATCGACGATCAGAAATAATTACAAGGTTCTTTAATTATGGTTATGCCGTAGGTTTTATAGGGCATATTGATATGGACTATTTTTAGGCTCAGTTATTGAACAGCTGATAATGAATAGAGAAATCAATATTTCTAAATTAAGAATAATGTTTTCAAAATTGAGGATATTGATGTTGATTGAAGAACTTATTGAATGAACTGGGGAATTGCAAATGAGAAACTCAGGTGGTGGAAGCAATATCTGCAGTATTTTGGAGGCTACGGGGCTAAACAAAATTTAATTCCTCTGTTTTTGCAAAGATACCCTTCAGTCTCGTCAAGTACTCAAAGGAGAAATGTTCTTAGATTACGCAGCCTAGTTGAAAGATGGGCAAGCCATCCAAGAACTTTATTTTTTTGAAGTAAATAAATTAAACTTATAAATTAATAGGGGACTTCGCCCTCTGCTCACTTCGCTCGCCCCCCGCTCGCCTCGCTCGTTCCCCCCAAACTTCTTGACTATGTTTAGGTGTTCGTATAATGTAGAAAAGACATTGATCGAATGGTTCTCCTCTTTAAAACCTTTTTTTAAAAATTGAAATTTTTATTATTTACAAAAGACTGCAACCAACCTCTTGTTTTGAGACTCAACCATTGAATTTTCCATTCATTTACATAGAATATCAGATATACTCTTATTATTATTATCTTTCAGCGATTTGACCCCTAATAAATTGGACCCTTATATGACTCTCATTTGACGTCGAGACTAGTCGAGAATTATTTTGAAGAGATCATCACGGTCTGGAAAAACATCGAAAGTTTTGGAATCATCGCAATCTCGAAAGACATTGGATCGGTGCATCTCGTCACAATTCCAGGAGGATTTATCTTGCCTAGATCTCGAGATTTTCGGTTTTTTAAGTTCACGAGACGAGACGAGACAGATATCGAGACAAACATTTGAAAAACAGAAAATACTGAAACTCAGACGTGATGGATTCTTCCAAGTTCGTGACGAGATGCACCGATCCAATGTCTTTCGAGATTACGACGATTCCTAAACTTTCGATGTTTTTTTATATCGTGATGATCTTTCCAACATAATTCTCTTCTAGTCTCGACAGCATCACTACATATGACCCATACGAATCTATACATATATGAACATATTCGAGCGATGAGATAATAATTCATCCAGAATGGTATCATCTGAGTCACAGTAAGGGTCACAGATAAGGGCTAGAGTTAGGGTCACATTAAGAGTCAGAATCAGGGGCGTCTCCTTAATTTTTAAACCTCCTCATTCTTTTATTACATAGAGAGAATTGTGTTTGTGAAATAATTGTTTTTCTATTCGAAAACTTTATAATCAGGGGTATACATATTTTGTTTGCTCTAAATAGACGCCAGCGAGGTGAGCATTTATTCGAAAAAAGAAAAATGAAAACCGGCGCAGTAGTTTCTGAGATATTCAGGCAAAACGAAATTTAAACAAATTGTTATATATCAGGAACTACTAGACCGATCGCACTGAAACTGTGCGCCAAAGTTGAACTCAATCATAACTACCACGAGCCAAAATTTCATATTTTTATCGACAAATTTCACCGTATTTATGTTACATCTTCTGAGAATATATATCACTCAGAACCCAAACTGTCAAATACATATGTACAGACATTTCGTAAAGAACATCATTTCTCCACGTTTTGTAGCATTCTACACTGAGAAAAATAAAGTTAGTTCAGAAGTACGTCCTTACTTCTATTAAAAAACTCACGGCTTGGAAATTGACAAGAAAAGAATATCTTACACTGAGGAAAAATAACTCTCGTCAAGAGATTTTGTGGTTATTCGAAAGATGAGGGGAAATTGGTTCACAACACCAAAGCGCCTTCTCGAACATAGTCAAGTGGATTTTGTACTAAAATATTTTGGATTTGAGACTGAAATCCTATTAAATAAATGGATCCAACTATACTTGGTTTGAGAATAGTATATTTCGTAACGAGCTAAAAAACATTTTTTCACGAGTTACGAACAATATTTTTCATCACATTGTGGCGGAAATTGTCACAGCGTGATGAAAATTCTTTTTTTGAAATAACCAAATTTTCCTCTTCTTTCGGATATTCTAAAATGTTGTTTTCTTGTCAATTTTCGAGCAACGAGTTTCTTGACACTAGTAAAGACGTACTTCTCATAGAACTGTATTTTTCTGAGTGAACATCGTCTCAAAAAAGTTAAAAGTGTCTATTTTGCCCCATTCTCCCCTCCACCTCTTCTTTTTTATTCAATAACATTCACTTGAGATAATCAAATCCACAATCAATTTGCTATATGAATAACAATCCAAATTTATATTTTACCACTTTTTCCAACTCCAGGTGCTCCAATGACAGCGACTTTAACTTCACACAATGAGCTCTTCTTCCTCCTTATTCCCTTAATTGCATTTGACGTCATCTTACCAACATTTGAAACTGTAACACAAGAAAATTTTCGAAGACTATATTCCTACATTCTTAAGAAGTGAAATGTGATTGATGGAGAGATGAACCAACTGTTCTTAAGTGCATCGTGGAGAGTCTGTCTCATAACAATCCGAGTGAGGGGTGAACAGAGTGCTTTCTATTTTTGTGAGTGATGAGCCGGAATTTACGATTATTATTCAATTTTTCTTTGATTCACGAGGAATTTATCATAGAGCTGTGTTGATCAAGGTCGATGGAATTGTCAGTTGCTTGTGCCAAAGAATCAAGTGGCGCGGAAGGGGGTGGGGAGGGGAGAGATGACGCTGAGTGCAAGTTCAGTGATGCGGCCAGGGTCGCACGTGTCACACGAATAACTGCCACTATGAGGTACATAATCCTGCAATATTTATAATTTTTCCCTTCTTTCTATTTTCATAACAACACATTTTTTTCTATTAAAAAAGTTGCCTCGTAACATGATAAAATCGCCCAACAGGTGCACTCTCTTCTATTAAAACAAGGTTTTTTGTTTAATACATCTTTTAACTTTTACGACTGATTAATTTGTTTGGGTAACAACCACGTTGCTCTCTGTTATTGAACATAAAACTTAATTAAATCCACTGAACCTATTCAACAAATGAGTTCAGCATTGTTATGGAGAGAGGAGATTACAGCGACGAGTGCATTTATAGAACGCACGTGCTTCCCCGGAATTTCAACAATTTTTTATACTATTTCATTTTATCCTCCACTGATCCACTCATTTTCCCCCCCATTGTTACATTGTTCTTCTGCAGTTAATGAAATTTCATTCACGCATTGTCCCCAATTCCTTCCTCGTTATAATACCGTTATGAAAATGAACGAAGAATGTGCGTAAAACTCGGAACTTAAGTGTAATGAAAAAAATGTTTACTTACCTTCAATAATAATTCAGCTCTGTGGCTTAAGATTTTCCCGAATGAAAATTAATTTAACTCTTAATCACATATTAATTCAGTTCCTTCCTGCTTCTATTTTCGTACTTTATGAAGAGCTCCAGCGCTATGAGCATAGAGAATTTAATTATCAACTTCACTCATTCGTGCGTGTTTATTCAGTGGAAAAGGGGGTCACGTGTTTTAAACAGTTCGCGGGAATGAATTTTGTGTGAGAAAGGTCCGGTCCGTTTCTCGGTTGGAGCTCGACTGTCTTACCAGTCACTTGATAAACCATTCTTCTTCGGTCTTACCCAAGAGACCGTGCGATCTTTTTTTGACTCACACTCAAAACTCCTGCCAAACATTGCATCGATGTTATTTCCCATTTTTTCTTGGTTTCTCACCAGTTTCGTATTTATCCTCGTGATTTTATTGGTCATTTTTATAGCCTCGTGAGTATGTAAATAAACATTTCGTATTTATTGATGGAGTTAAAGTCTAGATCAAGGATTTAAGACACTCAATGCTTCATTATTTTCAAATCTCCATGTATTTAAATTGATTTTATTTTTAATGAGACCCTGGACATCCTCCAAAAATCCAGTGAAGCGCGTTCTTCATCATTGGTGTTACCCTGTCTGAATAATTAATAAGTCATTCATTACTCTAATTAGGAATTAACGAGTGGAGGCATCTGTTGGGCTCAGGGGACGACAATCAGATTACCATTCACCAGAGCGGGTCGAGCTACCACGTCCTCGTAGAGGTCTTCAACCCCAGCCTTGGGTAAGTCCACGATTCTTGGGGATCTCTGCCTTGACGACCCGCGAGATTTCCTCTCCGAGGGACTTGTCCCCTCGCTGATAACGTCGTCGGCCCGCTTATCCTCGTCAGGCCTGTTCCTTATGAGATTTTTCTTTAGCTGCTTTATCTCGATCTTATAATCACTGTTCGTTAAGAGCTCTTCTATTATCGCGAGAGCTTCACTCTCCTTTTGCTGTTGAAAATTTTTATCAGGAACTGTCGCTATCGAGCGAATTCTCCTCCGTAATTTTCGAAGTTTCTCCTCGAGTTTCTGGACCTCTGTCTCGTCTCGTCGAGTTCTTCTACTTTTTCTCTTTTTTAATTGATTTATTTCCTGGAAGGGAACTGGTTCGTTAAGAATTGCTATTTTTTTCATAGTGGTATTCTTCATTGTGTTTTTGTTACTGACATCAGCTCTACTATTTAGAGTCCTCGCATCATCGGTCTCGGAATACAAAGCATCATCATCTCTCCTTCTTACGGTGGACTTGCTCCATGTGCCGTCTACAGAGTTGCCATTTCTTGGTTCCCTAGGAAATGAAGCAATTTAACCCTTTGTTACTTGCGTCCACGGCAGCGCGCCTGTGAAATTCTATTTTTCGTCATTCCGGCCGTAGACAGCGATTTAAAAAAAATTGACTACACCTCTTACTACAATTACTATAATTATAGTCTCAGGACTATGCATAGTGCAACTCTGGGATGAAACTCGGGAACCGGAGTTGGACCAGGGCTCCGCCCAGGGCTCTCAGGACTATGTCTAGTGCTGAACTATAGAATTGTACTCCAATCTTCAAAAAATATGATTCGACATACGGCCTAAAAACTTTTCTAGCAAATATGAGTTTGCAGCCCGAACTGAAGGCGAGGGAAAATTTTTTTTTGGCCTTGTACATATCTCGCATTCTTCACAATGTCCGTAAACGGCGTTTGACGGACACGAAGTATACGACGTTTTACGGACAGTGTGACGAACAATTAGAAATTAATTTTAACTGGTTCGAGCCAATTTTGGTCTACGAAATCGGACACCTGAGAGAAACTCATGCAAAAAACGGTACTTTCAATTCAATTAAAATTTTGAAAATTTTTCCTCGAGAAAAGAAAAAGTTTTTTCCCAGGTTGGTCCTCCCATTAAATCGATTTATTTAATTTATTAGGAGAAGGTGGGGCAAAATAGACACTTCTTACTTTTCTTTCAATGTTCATAACTCAGAAACGAATTAGTCAATTGAGTTCAGCTTAGGCTCATCACAGGAGGAGAGAATTATTTTTTTCAAAGAAGAAAGAATATCCCATTTAAAATCCCATTTTAAAATATCCCATTTAAAAATCAGAATGGTACGTTGTTCAACATATTCGAAAATGAATCCCAAAATTTGCAGTATTGTTTCCACGCCAATTATTAAGATGTGCAACGTCAAAAATAGAGAAACCACAAAAATTGAATATTTCACTGTACATATCTCGAATTTTGTGAACCGTTTTTAAATGTGCTTAACAACAAATCATCCAAATTTTGCGTCCTTTGTACATTGCAAAATTTTCAGCAGCTAGAAGTGACTGAGAAACTACCTTAATCAGAAATTCAACGAGTTATCGGGATTTTGAAAAAAGTACCAACTGTCCATTTTGCCCCACTCGCCGTGTAGCAAATTATTACTTCAACATATAGATTTCACTTTCTCCGAATTGACTATGAGAGCCCCTCAAGTACTTCTGGAGCTGTAGACCTCGACCGGGATATAACTGCACCGTTGACAACTCTTGACTCCTCTCCTTAACGTCGTTACCTCGAGTTCTCATTCGAATTTCTTGTCTCCTCTGGCGTCTCTCTTCCTTGGAGCCTCTCGTGCCTTCCCGATGGCTCAGATCATTGGGGAATGTCACTCGTGCCTGATTCACCCCCTCAGATTCAGCTTCGAAAGAATTCAGGACTGATTTCAAGGAGAGGGCCACGAGATCAATGAGAATATGACAACCCTTGCGAAAGTCTTGAGAAGAAAAAATTCTTAATCATCATTGCTGATAAAAAATCGTTACAGTTGACTTATCACACTCACATGAACGTGATATAGGGACATAGTATAGAATCCCTCCAAAAATTGTGGAGACAACCGTCAGGAACTTCAGATAACCCCCGAAGCCTCCCATGAGTGAGTCTTTCTCTAAAAAAAAATTTCTCATCCCAACTGCAAACATGTTCTCCTCATAAACAACTCACTGTACCTCCCCAAGAGTGATTCCAACACTTTCAGAGATGAAAAAGCTGATCAAAAGAACTAAAAATTTCATAATTAACTAAAGAATTTTCATTGAGCTTCATGAACAACCCAGATAACCTTCACGACTAAAAAAAAAAGACGACTACATCAAAACGGAAAGCTTGTACTTCATCAGATATCATTTTATTTGTGTACTTTATAATACGATCGACAAATATTCATGGGATACAATGATATAGAAGGATTGAGTAATTGCACTGTGCTATGTGTCCTGAATACACAATTAATACTTTCAACATTTTTAAAGGATTTTACAAATCTCAAGGCATTAGAACACTAATTTTTTTCATTGCATCTACATTTTCTGTCCTCAAAATACTAATACTAATTAATTTTGGGTGAGAATGATTTGATGCGTTTCTGATTGGAACTCGACTGTTAGGATAGAAAAGACGAAACTATTTAGTTGTTGTTAAGAAGCCTATTAACAGCCCCGTTAACAGCAAATAAATCCTTCTAGCAGTGTGTCTTACCAGTCACTTGATAAACCGTTCTTCTTCAGTTTTACCCAAGAGACCGCGCGAGTTTTGACTCACGCGCAAAACTCTTGCCAAATGGTGCATCAATGTAATTTCCCATATTTTCTCAGTTTCTTCCCAGTTTCGTATTCATCTTCCTGATTCTATTGGTCATTCAAAGACGATAGGGTCAAAATAAAAAGATCGCACTTCAGCATATATCATTTTATTCGTGTACTTTACAATATAATACAAACAAAAAATATTCATGGGATACAACGATCTAAAAGGATTAAGTAATTGCATTGTGCAATGCGTCCTGAAACGCGGGTGAATACACAGTTAATTCTTTCAACATTTTTAAAGGGTTTTGGTGCACAGACAGGAGGTGCAATTCTAAAGGCATTAAAACACTTATTTTTCCGTCTCATCGACATTTTCTGTCCATAAAATACTCAGAAAATGAATTACCCGGCGTTTCCCTCTTTTAAAAAAAATACATAATCAATTAAATTAGAATACTTTCCATCGTTTCACGTGTAAACGCCAACAAATATAAAAACCGGAACCAAATCGTTGAATCCTAAAACACATTCATACCGACGCGATTGAGAGATCTACTTGTAATAGAACGTAAAACGCTGTCTTAAACATATCATCGAAATAATAATAATAATATCATAAAACCCGCGTTGAATGTTTAATTTAAGAGTTAGTTCGTTACAGCGGGCCAATTAGCAATCTAGGGGATCACACATAACGTTAGAATCGGAGATGACGGCCGAAGGGAACTTCAAGCTGCCTCTTCCGTATTTTTTTAATGAGAGAGAGGGATTAGACGAATAAAATAATAATACAATAATAATAATAGTCCGCCTCGTTTGATCGTCCAAGAGTCACGCATCACACTGTTGCCTAGCAGTTCATCCAAACCGGACTCTCGATTCTCTTTCCATTCCGTTTGGAGACAAAAAGGAAAGGTTTGCTTTCGGGGAGTGACGAGCAAGATACAACGCCGAGTCTTCACTTCGCCAAAAAAAAAAACTTATGACTCAGCGATAAATCTCACACTCAATCCATAAAATCGGATTGCGTAGTCCTGTGGTTTGGACGAATGCAAAACTAGTGATGGTGATGATGGAGACAATAATTGAGACTGAGAATCATGAATGACGACTTTATACAGGGTAAAATGACAACGACGAATGATGATGATGATGACGCTGATAAACACGACGGAGAAGATAATGTGAATCCTTAAATAACAGTGTGGATCACATGTCGGAGGGGTAAAAGTTATTTGGATTAGAGCGATTAATTTACGCTCGTGCCTTGATCTTGTTCATGGCATTCGTCAGGTGCGTCATCTCGAGATTGAGCTGGGACACAAGACCCTCGAGCCTCTCCACTGTGTCGAGAACCTCGACTCTCTGGGTGTGTGGGTTGTACCTGACCTCGAAGGGTCTGCTCATTGTTGACACCCAACGACGGAATTTGTCCTTAGCATCCTCGAAACTCTCAGCGACGTAGTAGATGGGCTGGTAGTCTTGGTCTTGGTACGGTTGAATTGCAGTGGTGCATGGATCGAAGGATCGGTGCTCGCATTTGTCGCTCAGAGAGTGAAGGAGTTCACCGTAGGCTGAGAGGAGACCGGCTCCGTAGGCCTTGACTTCTGTGCCCTCCTTGCAGAGACCAAATTCAACGGTGAACCAGTAGATGGTCGAGAGCTTTTCAATCTCCTCGTCTGATGCGCCGAGGGAGGCTAGACCGATCTCCTGGGAGAACTGAGCGAAGCTGGGATCGGCAAGCAGTGGCATATGTCCCAGAAGTTCGTGAATGCAATCACTGTAACAGGAGAAAATGAACGTGTAATACTTCTCGGGTTTTTCAACCCTGCATTGTTATCCTTCTCGCTATTACCGATTCTATTTTCGTATATTTTTGTATAGAGTGAAGACAATATCTGCACAAAGTGCGAAACCGTTGTCAATGAAATTATCCACGTCACCGTGTCGTTAAAAGCCAATTAGAGTTTCCATTACAAGCTTCAGAGCGGCAAGCTTGATTCCATTAAAATCTCTTTCCCATCCACCCACCAACACCAACTACCCGATTGACTCTACGTCTGTCGTCAAAACGCAGTGTATCGATTGCCAGCCTATCCGAAAACTTATACCACGTACCCTGCGGTCCCTAAAGCCCCCCCAAACTTCGTATCCCGCATGAATTTTCAACTTCCCCACGATCTAATGACATAAAAACACTTACGGCTCTGGTGTGTGGTAAGGGCTGTTGATGTGTCTGACATACTGGGTGCTTTGGAATATTCTGAATGCCAAGCTCGAGAGGAAGTCCCTGGCCGTCAGCAGACCAGCAGCTGGACGAAGGGTGAATCCAGTGTTTCTCTTCAAGAACTCACTGACCTCCTGGAGCTGAGGAATGCGGTGGGCTTCGAAGATCTTCTCCTCGCGCAGCTTCTTGAAGACTCTCTGGTACTCGATGCAAGCGTGCTTTGGCACAAGATCGACAACAGTATTGAAAACACGCAACCAAGTCTCGTTCTCGGTCTCAGTGTATGGAATGCAGGGAATTGGATCACCGTATTTATACGCAAATGCAATTTCAGCGATGACCTTTCTGCGTGCACGATACTCCTTGTCAGCAAAACCAGGATGATTCATGTCAAGATCAGGCTCGTACTTTGTCATTAGATGATTGCAGTTGTCAAGTTCAGACGCATGACGCGGAAACCACGGGTCCTTGATACTGACAGAATTGTCAGCTAGCAAAGAAACGTCACCAAGCGCCGAGCTCTGTCTCAAATTTCTGATCAATTGAAGGAGACACTGACGTGTCATGTCAACTTTAATAAGTACATCGAATTGCGTGCCCTCTTTGCGTGATGGTCGTGATTCAAGATGTGTCACAGTGCCCTTGAAATTTTCAACAGTTTTCAATATACGCGCGAGAGAACCAATTCCGTCGCGCAAACGCAGCATAAGGGCTGCTTTTTGAACTGTTGATTCACCCTCCGGGCTCTCGGAAATTGTCTTGGCGAGCACCACTTCCTCCTCGGTGAGTCCATAATCTAGGGAAAGTGAAATGAAAAAAGTGTTGAGAATGCATTGCGAGGGTCGTGAGTGAGAAAATAAATCGATTTAGAGTCCATTTGCTCAAATCACAATAAAGGAAAGCCAATAAAGTTCCTGGAGCACGGGAGGACGAGGCGTGGGTGTTCTCAGAGTGCAAAATAGAAATATCTAGTTATATTCCAGGGTGGAACACTTGAGGGAGGTAACAAAAAGCCATCTTAACGTTTACTTCTGAAAATGCACAAAGGTCATTTTCTCCCTTTCCATGGCTCTAACCCGCCGCGACAATGGGGGCTGTTTCACCCTCCATTTACTCCCCTTCACCCAGTTACCCTCGGACACTTAAGGACTTTCCTTGACATTTTTTTTCAGCAACTCAATCCCACTGAGGACTTTTACAGTTTTTCATTCCATTCATGAATCCAAGTTGACATTCGATCTTACCATCGTCAATGTTGGGTTTTCCCTCGCCGTCGGAGGATGAAGCTTCAGCTTTGGCTTCTAAAAATGACCACGACAACATTTAACAATCATGCACATTCCGGAAATTAAAATCAAAGAAGCAACTGGAAATTGAGAGAACAATTTACCTCCTTCTTTGGCGACGAATCTGAGTGAATCTCCCTGTTCGTCATCGCTGGATGACACGTATGGCTCCTCATGATTCTGAGTCTCTTGAGCGCAAGTTGGATCAGTGCTTGAGTCTAACCAAAATAATAGAACATAAACATAAAACGTGCCGCATGCAAACAACATTGAAATCATTTTTTTAATCTTTCAAGTGCTCTAGGTTTTTCTTGATTATGACACTTAGGGATATAAAAGTACTTCGTTCAAGCAACATTTTTCAAGCAAAATTTTAGTTTGATCGAAAATCTTGCCATCCCCATACTTTTTTGGATTTTTTACTGTTGAATATATTTTTTCGGGCATTTCCCCAATGAATATTGGGAACAATATTTTATTTCGAGCAGCGAGTGGACGAACTGCCTTTTTCGTTTACAAGTAAACGAAAAGACTTTTCGTAGACACGGAAACGAAAAGGCACTTTTCGGAACGAGGTGAACATAGCAGTAGTGCCAAAAAGTATTTTTGAGAACTAACACCTCCAAAAATGATTTCTATACTGATGGGAGTATTTATCCTCAATAATGCACGTCAATAAGTATTCCCCAGAGATCGAAACATTGGAATTGAGTCTTGGTAATATTTTCTCCTAATTTCATCAGCCAAAAATGGCAAGTTAACATCAAGAAAAACATAAGCATCAAAAATCATCTAAAAAATATTCTGAATGATATCGGCACCCACCATTGGCTCTATGACGGGCTTCCTCAAGCACGCTCGCCTTCGTTTGCTTCACCACAAGCGTCTCGAAGCGTGCATCGTCCACAAGGGACCTGCGACGTGCCGGATAGCCGTTCTGAAATTAATCAAAGTGAATCCAAAGTTAGACGAGTCAATTCACCCAACGTTCTCAAGCAGAAAATGTTCCCCCGTTGATCCTTCAGGCTCTTCCGGATCATTCTCGCAGGAGGAAATTACCGCGGAAATTGAGCCCAAGGACCTCTGACCACCTGTGGGTCTCAAACCCACGCGATTTCAACAATTAATTGGCTCGTGCCAACTTCACAGGTGGCTATTTCTCGCGCAGAAGTTTGAGAAGAAAAAAATCTCTAGTCACTTTATTGTATCGGTGAGTCGCGTGTGCCGAGAGAGTCCGCTGGCCAAAGTGGGCCAAGTACTTTTGCCGGCGGATAGACGAGCGATGAGTGTGCAGTTGCATCAGCCAGTCGATTATTCCCAGGTATGGGATGCGTATTAACCGGAATGCATGTTTTGCTTTGATGAAAAAACCTTGATCAAGTGCCCGACTGTCGCACGCCATTGACCTCGTCAGTCATGTCATTGTCCAAATCAATTTAATCATTGCATTAATTGATTAATTCTTCATTAAAAATTTTGAAATTTCAGGGGATCGTTTACATTCCCTGAGTGATGGACATTTTTTTGTTTCAAATTTTGGGAGAAATTGTCGAATTAGCGTGATTGGTTTTCCACAAAAGTTTAAATAATATTCATCATTAGCAAGAACAAGTTGTCGCGTTTTATAATTCTGAAAACTTGTGGTAAGTCTCTCGTAAAGGCATGTCTCCGTCCTCTCAGCTCAAGTAACGGGAAAAAACTCAATAAAAAATATCATAAAAAACGTGAGGAATTGCATGCTTAATAGACTGTTATGATGATTTATGGTAAATAAATAATATCTTTCCAATGATTGATTTCTCAATTTTCTATGGACTCCATTTTAAAGAGGAATTTTCACTTATTTGTTCAAGATTTTGGAAAGAATCATGAAGTTAGTATGATCGCGTAGCGAGAATGCAAATCATTCTGATTATTCGCGGGAATAAGTAGCGTCCATCTGTCTATAATTTACGAAACTCGCGATAAGTCTCTCGCAGAGATATGCGCTCCCCTCCTCTCAGTTTGAGTAATGAGAAAAAAAATCAAGAAAAAAATACTATAAGAACGGGAGGAATAATTGCGGCAATCAAATGCTAAACTATTACAATAATTTATTGAAAATTAATTTTTTAGTTTTTTCATCACATTATGTTCTTTTTTGGTATAAATTTGGCAAATAATTGTCAATTCAGCATAATCTCATGATATCACAAATTCAAAAGTTTGTGATTACTGTAAAAAACAAGTATTATCTCTAATAAACTAAACTTCAGAGAGAAGAATCATAAAAATGCCCATTTGGGAGGAATAGATGCAGTAATCAAAGCTACAAAAACTATTACAACTATTATAACAATCTGCTGAAAATTAATTCAGCACTGTCCAAACATTTGCTTACGTAACACTTAAAAGACCCCTATTATCTTCCTAATAAATTCACTATTCAGTATAATATCTGCTTTGATGGAATGCTCATTTTTTTTGTTTAAAATTTTGAAAATTCAGTATAATTACGTAATTGCAAAAATTCACAAGATTCTAATTATTGGCAAGATCAAGTATCTCTCTCTCTTTCTCACAGGTATGTCCCCCTCCTCTCAATTCAAGTAGAGATACAGAAAAACATCAGGGAAAAAAAATAATGAAAATACGGGAGGAATAAATGCAGCAATTAAATGCATCGCGATTAGCATAGTGTATCGGCGCGCGTACGGTTGAGAATTATCGTAGTGGATAAATGTGAAAGAAAAGGAGACGTGTCGAGCCTCCAACTTATAACGGTTGTATTCCCGTACAACACATTGAAGTGGCTAACGTTGACTCAGGGACTCACGCAGCCAGCCGCAGCCAATATTCTCTACTTTACAATCACTTCGTTCTCATATTTATAACATATTCATAATTATCATGTCGACAAGGACGATTGATTTCTCAATCCATGATTATCCATCCGATATTATTCCTTGTTGACGGCATCCCCTAGCCCCCCTTCCGCTTCGTGTATTTATTTTTCATTAAGACATCATGATTTTTAATTGAACGCTTGTGGCATCAGTGCGGGGCTTACACCTGATTTCACTGCCTTCGGAAAATACGAACAAGGTCTCGGTTTTTCCACTTGGCACTAAGTCGTCGCGTGATTACCTGTATTTATTTTATTCTATCGTTCACCGGATTCTTTACTCATTGTGGAGAACTTGCGTGATTTTTTAAAACCTTTCAATCTCAAATTTTGGCATTAACGATATCCAAGTACTTTATACTTTTGTAGCGGAACATTAGAGCTTCCATTTGAGCCTCATTTGATCCTAAGTTTCCGGACATTGTACAATGTTTTTATTATTTAAACTTTACAAGTCTGAATTTGAATTTTGATATTGAACCGTTAGAAAATATTTTTTAAAACTGATAAAAAATTATAAAGTCTACTTTTGCAGAAAAATTAACGAAATAATTTAAAGAATCAACCAATTTTCCATCGTAAAAATCATTTGTCCGGAATTATAACAAATTTATTCATATTTATAATTTTAACGAAAACAGATTTTGTGCCTAAAAAAATAAGGTTTCCGAAAGTTCGAACAATTTTAATTATTTATTAATAATCAATGAATGTTTAAAAAAATAATAATTCTGTGCAAAATGGAATTTGAATGACGTTGAATATTTATGATTTTTTCCAATTTTTTTCACGCGATTTAATTGACAAATTTGAATGTGAAAAATGATTGAATCTGTAGCGTAGTCTGTACCAAACTGTAAAACATACTTGGATGTCCTTAAATGGTTATGTTTTCAATTTAAGGTGGCTAACGTTGGCGGGAAATGACCATTTAGGGGGCTTTCGTCACGAAATATTGGAGGTATTGTTCGTTAATTAATCATTGATTGTCTAAAAATGGAGATTTCAAACACTTTGAGATCGCTAATGACGTCACAAGAGTGATCAAACGCTGGACCAATCGCAGATTGGCTCGAGCGAACCTAACCCAATCTTCACGTGCGTCTTATCCACTGGATGACGGCAACTCCCCTCTTTCCCCACACCAACTTTACTCGCGACCAACGGAATGCTATCCAGTATTACACTGTTAGAGATTTCTTGAAATTTCAGTCACAGCGTCATCTGAATTTTCGATGTTGTGAAGTTGAATTCAATTTCGAATGAAAGCGTTCACTAAATTTCTCCTTTATCTTGAAAATTCAAGATAATTCGAGTTTTCATGTTAAACAATCATTGATTTGTCAACGAACGCTTGAATTTTCAAACTCGTCGTGAAAATTGAACATCACATACAATTCAGTTTTCAATCGATTGAGAATTCAGAAAAGTTATTGCCTGAATTTTCAAAATTTTCAAGGGTTCTCATTTCCGTATGAATCTGAAAATCGAGAATTACTTGAATATTCAAGAAATTAACTGATTCGTCAGTGAAGACATAAGCTTTTTCATTTCAAATTTCAAGAGTAATCTTCTAACAGTGTACAGTCGGGTACTAATGTTCATGAACAAAACACATAGGATGCAAGTGCAGGCTGTTCACGAACTTAAGTCCACGACTGTACTTATACCACTTTATGACGTCAAGACCGAAATAATAGGTTGCAGAAACGTCTTATTTCCAATGATTTATTATAAAATATCTAGGTAATACCTCTACACAATTCTTTTCTTTGAAAAATAGCTCTTTGAAAAATTGAATCGGCTTTCTACCGCAAAATTAGACCCTTTCCCTCCCTGAAAGAACGATATGATCCGAAACTAATGACCTTCAAATATTTTTCTCACATCAATAACGGTGAAGAGCCATTTCGAAGACTTTCAAACTTTTACCAACAGTTTTACTGCGTTAGCGTTTAACATGATTTATCGGGTATTTATGTGCTAGTTATTAATGCGTACCTATATAGATTGAATGGCTTGAATAATCGCCGTTGTAGTAATTTGTCTCGACAAGTCGGTGTGACATAATCGACCAGATTACTCAGTAGGTTATGGGAAACATCATCGTCTAGCGTTTATCAATGGTATGAAAGTGCGAGTTATGCGCGTGACTTTCTCCGGGCGTTACTGGACTCCGAACAATTCTCTTTTTTTCGTCAATAACGAGCAGGTGATTCAATGCCGTTGAACTCCGATCCTGAATGGGATGATGAAATATTTTGAGAATATTTCATTTCAACTGTCATCGCCCTTCCGACCAGTAAATTATTATTTTTGTAGAGGAAAAAAGTTAGTCGTTTTCAGTGAGAATTTCGGAATTTTGGAACTCGGTCTTTCTTAATCTAGTGAGCTAAGTTAAATTGATATTCAATCTCTCCTGAATTTGATCCCTTTCGACTGTTCTTGATTTTGAGAACTTGACCTTTCTCAATTCAAGGACTTGCCGGTTCTCATTTCAAGACCTTCTTCCGCTTGAAATAAATAAGTTTTAATATTTAATTTTAGAGATCATTCTTCTAGAAATGGACGAGCAGTTTTCTAGTTTGAGGACAATGCGCATAAAACCTTGAATTTCGCCATTTCAGTGACTTTGTTCTGAACACTAGAAACTTTTTATCTTTGTATTATTAACATTAATTGATTTCGTTTTATGAATTCGGTATCAGTGGGGGAAGAATTGAGGATTCTTATAACAATAAAAATTGGAATGAAATTTTTCTGCAACGAAAACTATAATTACGACATATGATATGAATAGATATCCTAAACTTCAGTTGCGTAGGTCTTTGGGACCAAGGGCAGTCCACCCGGAAGAAAATAGACAAGGCCGAAAATTAATATTTGTTTACTATTGTCACAAACGAGATTTTTGGACTGACCTATATTTTTTTGTGTGGGAATTCCATAAGCAATGGCCAAAAAAATGTGATTTATCTATTATTTGATTTACTGAACTGAAAAAAATTGATTTATGCAGAATAAACATACTTGAGACAAGGAAATGGCTAAATTTCCCAAATAGGATCTTCATTTAGATTCTTGCCTCAAAATAATTTGATTGATTTGAATGAATGAATAAGTAGAAATTTAAGTAACAGCTTCATGTAAATTTTCAATTTTCAGTCATGAATTTAAGTTCAATTTAATGTCTAATCGTACATAGAATTTTTCATCTGGAAAATTTACTGAAATGGATTTGAATTTCCAAACTCTTCGTAAAAATGAAATATTAGTTAATGATACACTCAATGGATTGAGAATTCAGAGCAATAATTACCTGAATTTTCCCGATTTTCGATCATTTTCATTCAGTATTTCAGGAATTAACGGATTCTTCGATAATAGCATGAATTCAGTGATCGTGTAGGGAATTAAACTTTCAAGAATTTTTACCAAAATAAAAATTGCAATAATTTAGCTGAACGTTTTAATATTTTTGAAAAATTTTTAGTTAAAAATGTGAAAGTTTACTTGACTTATTCGATTTTTTATTAGAATTGTGGTAAAAAATATTGCCTATGCAATTTTCCATTTAAAAAAAATTCAATTAACGATTGCTTGTGAATTTTAAATGTTGTGAGTCCGAATCTGATTTTCACTAGATTTGAAAATTGAAATTTCATTGAATACTCAAGAAATCAGCTAATCCGTAAACAACAACAGATAAGAAAACATGTAACTTATTCTTTGCTCCAAACTCCCAGCATTTCAACTTGAAATTTCCAAACTAATTTTCTCCCAGTGATTTTGTTACAAATAAAATCAAATTTTTTGTCTCAGTATACTAAGCCCTCCGTCAATTTCCCAAATTTCATCAGGGCCCCGAGAATGTTCCCGGACTGCAGGCGCCGAAAAAAACATCAATAGAATTTGTATAACGCGGAGAAAGTCGAGACCGGTGAAGAGGTCCGCACTCTGATGCCCAAAATAACGCCCAGGCGTGTTTAACATCTTTCTCATTCTGCGGTAATCTGCATTCTCATTTTGAGCGAGGAAGGGTCACTTAAATTGATCGGGTTCAACCCCCGATGGAGCGATGCCACCCCCAGACGCCAATTAATTAGCCCTCAACATTCTTTTTGAATTCAAAAATTAATCCACCCCAGTCCCATTAATCCCGACGAAATTACCCTTCTCGGTGCCGATTAACTGTATCGGTTGTCGCGATAACTAGAGGCATCTCGAGAGCAAGTGGAATAGTCCGAGAGTGATCAGCCAACCCCGACAATTCACTCTAAAAATCTACCGATTCACGGTCAATGACTAAACCCCAGTTCAGGGACTCATTCTCACAGCAAAAACGAATGTTTGAATTTCACACATTTTTTGTAGACATTTTTCAGATACTAAAAAACGTCTGAATGAGACGGAAATTTGTCTGAATTTGAGACGAATAGGTGCCTAAACATTTCAATTCATGTTTGAAAATCAAACAAATTTTCATTTCATTCCGACGTTTTTTAGTGCCGGAAAAATGTTTACGACAGGTGTGTGAAGTTTAGACATTTGTTTTTGCTGTGCTTGCACTGTTAAAATTTTTCATTCGGACTTTCCGTGTCCAATCTCGGAAATTTTTATCATGTGAAATTTCAGGAGATCTTGTCGTTGAAAAGTAAAATATTCCATTAATTTTCTGTTCCAATGAATGCTTGACTTTTCAGTTCCATTATTCCGTGAAAATTCAGAAAAAAATAGAAAATTCATGTGATTTTGTTTGGGAATATTCATGTTTCATTGAAAATTCACTCAAGTTGTGAAATTTCCGTCTCACTTTCACTGAAAGCTCCCGAATTTCCTCGAATTCTACCTAAAACTTGCAACTCCATACCCATTTTTCCCCTAAATCTCATTCAATGTCGTTCTCATGAGAATTAGTACAATATTTTCCCTGCATTTTCGAAAAATCCCTAACAGTGTGCGCCCACTAAAAAATGTTACCACCCGCAAGTACAAAATTTCAGTATAATCATTAAAAAACCGGAATGATAAGTTTATTTATATCCGATTCCATGCGTTATCTGAGTATCAAAACAAAATAAACCGCAAACAGGTGGCCTTGACGATGGAACCGTCGATTCAGGACGATGGGCCAAGGATTCCCCACCCATTGGATTTCAGTGCCCCATAAATACCAAAATCGTTAATTCCCCCAGAATGAAAAATGTTAAATTCCACGATAAACGATATGAAGATGGCCCTATTCCAATTAACCGTCCACGGCAAGGTCGTTGTGCAACCATCTTGACAATTAAATCCCGTGAACTTTCTCCATTCGTCATTCGCTTCCCCCCAGCCTCTGTGTGTATTACCGCTGATCCCGAGGATAGTTAGTGAAGGATTTCACTCTCGATGAACAGTTTGTGTGCTACGTGACGAGGAAGCAACGTACACCGGAAAAAGAAAGATGAAAGAGGACAAGATCATGTGTGAAATTGTGTCGCCGCGTTATTCCATGCTTTCGGTTATATTTACTCTTTTTACATATTTTTCTGATGTAATTTTTTACGGATGTTACGAAAGATGGACCGGTAGTCACGTAGCCCGGAATGCCATCGATCATCGACTCGTATTTTACCCGTTTACTTGAACTTTCCACTGTCGCCAAGAAATTAAAAAACCAAAACCGCGGGAAAAAGGGGGAATGACAGGTCGACTCACCTCGATGCTGTACGATTTTTTGATAGCGAACATCTCGCGATTCTTCTGTGCCGCTGCGACAGCCATCATAATGTCCTCAATCGTGTTTCCTCGACAAGAATTATACTCCAAAGGATAAACAGCCTCCTCGAGACGCTTCCAAGTTCAACAAAAAGAGAGTGACTGACACACGCCGGAGCCTCACTGCCCTTGAATCTTCACAAATGTTGAACGTTGATTTAGATGTTAATCAGGACCGACGAAAACTTGGAGTTGATCCAAAAAAAAACTCGCGAATTCCTTCGACCACAAAAAATTAACTCCTCTGTCTGTCGTGCAATTGGAGCTTTAATTGTCACGTTGTTGAATTGTTTTCTCCTCCAAGATTGTTGTTCGAATATCACTCCAGAGATTTGATTAAAAAAAAACAATATCAAACGAAAATGTTATTTTTTATCTCACGGCTGATATTTCGTCTCCTGCTTTGGCGAAGCGAACGAGCGAATGCGACGTCGGGGCGGATTGCCGCTGCATATAAACGTTACCTCCCTTCACCGCCTCGCGCTTCGGGTCAGGGGTGCCCCCCCACTATTTTCCCCAGGCAAGGGGGAAAAAAAATTCCCCCCTGTAGATGATGACGAGAATGAGACAAATGCGGGTGGGAGGTTTGAAAATCGTTGAGGGCTTTCGGGTAGTCCACTATCATTCTTTGAACAACTTCAATACTTTCATTATTCTCATACACGGATTAATGGTACTACGAACATGTGATTTGTGCTGGAACCACGCGCTTACCTCCGTCTACGGTGTATCTGGCATTCTCATTGGTTGGGAATTTTTTTTCTCTTCTTCATCTCAATGAACGAGTGTCGGTGTGTGTATGTGTTTGCGTGCGCAGGCATGGACACGGGGAGATCCCGTGCGTTTAGAATTGTCGGATATCGTGGCGATTGCCTGAAACCAATAGCTGATTCATTGGGAGTGTGAGGAACGTTTACTTGTCAGTCAACGAACGGCTGTTGTTGGCTGTGGGTGATAACTGCGTGGGATATTCAGAACCCTTTGGCTTGTCCTCCGCGAACGGCGTCTTCGGGGGCCGGCGGTTTGCGTTGTTTGTGGAGTTTGTTTGATGGATATTCCGGGTGGATTGGGGTGGGGGTTGAGTCATGATTTAATGAGTGATTTTATTTACTCGCAGGATCAGGTGGAATTCATTAGGCTGGGATCCCAAGGAGATTTTTATTAGTTGAATTATTTATGATTCTGCTCATTTACATGGATTTTCATAGTGGATTGAATAATGGAATGCTGGCAGAATTCAAACGATACTGATTTTTTTTTGAGTTAATGAATACGTCTTGCGCGCTCAGGGTCTTGACAATTTAGTAGCGAAGCGGTAGAACGGTTCAAGTCGAAAATGGTTTTGCTCTCAGCTGAGTTTGCGAGGAATATCTCCGAATCTGAAGGAGATAACGATTTCTTCGTAATGACTTATTTGTAGCACTCACTTTGCTCTACAAAAAAGGTTGTGACAAAAAAATTGCTATCTCCCTCAGATTCCGAGATATTCACTAAAAATTGAGCCATAGTCAAGATCTACTTGAACGGTTTTAACGCTTTGCTACTGAATTGTAGTAGATATTCACAATAAACTTGTGATGAATTTCGTGTTGAGCACCGTAACATATGATCATTTAACAATTGCAAAACTACGGATAACAACGCAAGGGTTGAAGCAACTGATAATTTTAATTCAAAGTTGCCGTGCGACTTAGTATATTTCTAACCTAGGGAGGTAAAATAAAGGAGCCGTGCTCACGAGTGGAATTACGTTGTAAGTATGTTAGTAACGGTCCTTTATTTTACCTCCCGTAGTTAGAACTGTATTTTTCGCCCCGGCGTAGGCGCAAAGTCAGATTTCCCTCCCGCGAAGCGCCGGGATGAAAAATATTTATCTACCCATTTTCATGAACAACATTGAAAATAGAAATTTCTTAAAGTTTCTAGTAGTGTATGTACTAGAAATTGTGAACATGCTGAGGAAGCTCAAATTTTTGGCTTTACTTTGTCATTTTACATTGCCGAATTATTTTTACATGTTTCAACAAATCCGTTGATGAATCGAAGAAGTGCGAGGTATTGCAAGAAATAAGTACAATTTCGTCCAAATTATTTTATTCGTATATCCCAAACTCGTATGTTGAAAACAAAATGTGCAAAGGATTCGAATTTTTCTCATATAATTAGTCTATTTATTCCAGGAAGATCCGTAAAATGATTTGTTCGAAATTTGCAGATTTTCCCTGAACATGAACCAACGCACATCAGTTATTAAACCATGTATGCTAATTCCAGTCGTCATGGGCATTTTGTTTATAAGGAAAAATCTGGGAAATTCACATTGAGAAATCGTGGCGAAATAAAATCGAATGACGTGGTAAATTTCGACTCCGTAGTTTAGGTGATCATGAGGGATAGGCGGCGGTCAATAATGACATTGAGGGCAGTAGACGTCATGGGAAAGACCTAAAATTCTTTCCAGAATCTAAAGTGGGACAACTCAATTTGATCTCGTAGTTGTTTGTTTCTTAAATACAATTAAAATTTGAGGGACAAAACAGTCAATTTTCTTCATTTAGAATGACATTTCCTCCTCTATTCAATTATTAGGGTCATGACCTTTACTCCCGTTGAATATTCAAATAACAAAAACGAAGTTTTTCCATATCAATTATTTTCAACATTTTCAGTTGAACATCAGAGCTTCCATTTACACCTTATTTGGCCCTGGGTTGTCAAACATTTTACGATAAATTCATTATTGAGACTTTAAGGGCCTGAAATCGGTTCTCTATTTAAAACCGTTAGAAATCATTCTAACAATCTAAAAGAATTACAAATTCTACTTTTAGCAAAAAAGTCATAAAATAATTGAAAAATTTTAATTGCTGGTGTTTGGGAAATGTGCGCAAATAATTTATAAAAATTAGTCTTACCCCAACAATTTCATCAACTAAATTGTAACAAATGAAATAGATTTCATACCGGAAACAAATTTGAATGATGCTGATTATCTCCGAATTTTATCAATTTTTCCAACCAATTTTATTCAAAAATGTAATAATCAAACATCTTCCAAAATGTATTATTTGGCGCGAACAAAACAGCAGAAATTGAAAATGTTAATACCCGGTTACCCGATTTTATATGCCAGATATATACAGTTACCCGATTTTGTATGTAATAAAATAATTTCAGTTCTGTATTACGATTTCGCGTATCTGTCCCCCAAACATTCTAAAATTGTTTCATAATTTTCTAAAGCATAAAATCAATCTATTCATCATTTAAAAAATATTTTTGCCACCATTTACGGCATGATAAACAGTCACTTTCAACCATGAAATCTGCAATTTCATGAATTTTTCCCCTCTTGTGTAATCGATCGAAGATCAACGTGACTCGTGTAGGATATTGACACCAATTATTCGGGTCCTAAACGATCGCTTCCAAGTTGAATATGTAGTTGCCCGGAGGCAATAATGCCCCAGACGTCACACCTGATAACCCAACCTGGGAACCCCGGCGCCTGTAGCAGACGCTGGAATGCCACCGACGAGCCATCAAACTTCTCGCGAATCGCACGTCAGCCCCTTCGCCTCGCGGTTCACCTAGGAATTTCCACATTAAATCAAAAAAATTTCCACCATTTCCATGCAAAAGGAAAATAATCCTAATGATGAGGAAAAAAATTCCCTGAAGCGAAACATTGTAACACACGACATTTGGATATAATTGAACTAATTCATATGCACTAGTATGCGTGTAGACAAACCTGATCTTTACTTTCATGTACCAAGGCCAGCATCCCAGCCTTACGTTTACCCACAGACGTTGTGGCACTTGATCTACCGAGCGATTTGTCGTCGTGTTAACAAGACATTGCATTCCACATCAGCTGACTCATTTGTGAACCCGGTCCCTCATACCCAATATCAATATCACTATCAATATTCATTGGTAAGGACACAAACCAGCTCCAGCGAATGTTAATGACTTCATTTCGACTTTTTTCTGCTTGAAAAAACGTGAATGACTTCATTACGAAACGCTGGAAAACATTTTCACGATCTGAACGAAATTAGAAAATCTAGCTTGGGAAGAGGATTTATGAAATGATAGAAATTTTTTTGAAAATTTCCTCTTATGATTTAATTCATAAATTTGATTACTGAAAATAACTGAAAATAACTTCTCAAATCTTTATTCATCAATTCAGGATATTCAAGTATCTCTTACAGTTCGGTACAGACCACACTATAGATTCAACCATTTTTTAATTTTACCGCATTTTTCCGAAATCCAACATTGTCAAGTGAAAAATCAAGTAAATAATTACTAATTCGTATGAAATTTCTATCTACGCTATTATGAACGAATCAATTAATTCCGGGAATATTCAACGTAATTCCAATTTTCGGATAATATAGCCACAGAAATTATCAGAAGCAATGAAGATTCAGGCCGTTGTTCACAGAGAAAATAATAATTTCCAGAAATCTATCACAAATTGTTGATAGTATTGCACATTGACTACTATGACCCTTATCATCAGTGATTTTCATCTCTGAAATTTGGTGATAAAATCACTGAGTGCCTCTAATAATTGGAGATAAATTCCTGAAAATTAGTGACATTTTCTGGAAAATCAAAACTTTTTTTCTCTGTAAATTTATTAAAGTATGAGTCCATGGAAAATTCAATTGAATGTAATGTTCAATTTTCACTACAAACAAATATTGAAATATTAATGATCGCTTGCAATAAAAACTCAATATCGTTGATGATTTCCTATTAAATTGCAATCAAATTCAGAACATTGTGAATTTACCTACATTTTCTTCAGCTTCCAAAAATTTTCTTGTATCCAAATATTCGATAATTCTAGTAAAGATGAATAGCGACCACAAAATATTATAATTGTGACTGAAGTTATTGGCCTTTTTTAGCGAATTTCACTTGACAATTTTCATCGACACATTTCTCCCCTTGATTTTTCGGTCTGATGATTATTAACCAGAAGCACGAGAGCAATATTATTCGAAGGGGGATAACTACACGTGTCATGTTCACGGGTTGATGATTATCGCTGTGAATCTCAGTTAAACATCAGAACGGGTCTTCCCTGACATGTTGTGTCATCTACCGATTGACGCACGTCAATAAGAGAATTCGGCCTGAAGGTATAATGTCACCACAAATGCAACTCATCATGAAAATTCCCGTCATATACATAAAAGAACAATTATATAATAAAAAAAACGATCGACAGAGAATGAGAAAGAATGGTAATGCGTAATAATACTAACCGCCTATGATTCCCAGAAATCAATAAAAACGATGTTTAACTATCGAATTGGCATAATAGACAATCAATTGGTGAACAACTAGCCAAATGCTAATGTCCTGCAGTTCGTGTTATGTAATGATGA